TATGGTGGGGGCCCCGAGCACGGCACCGTGCCCCAATATATCTTCACTTGGTCTCCAGATCCTAGAAACTTCCCCCAAAACCTTCTCATGAGCCTGGACCCCTGCAACCAAACCCAAATCCGTTCCTACAGCCTAGAGCACTGCCCCCAGCCCAGGCCGGTGCCCCCAGCCTCCACGTTCTCCACTGAGCCCAAACCCTTGGATGAAGCCCATGCCCCTGCCCCGGGCCTGGCCACCCCTGCGCTGTGTCCCAGCAGCTCCACACCTCCCTGGAATGGTTCCTCTGGGGATGGACCCCCCTTCCCCATCCCCTGCACCCACTCCAGGCCCCTTGCGCTGAGCCCAACCTCCCAGCTCCCATCCCAGTGCCTTGCACCACGCCCGGACCCTCTGGAGCCAGCCCGGAACACTACGCGATGGCGAGAGCTTTTGCCTGGATGCTTCCCTGAGCCTGGACCCTTGCACCAGCCTGGACCCCTGCCCCCAGCTGGGACCCCTGCACACAGCTCAGACCCTTTAAAACCCAGCCCAGACCCCTGCCCCCACCCCAGGCATCCCGGCACTGTGCCCCAGCAGCTCAGCACCTTCCCAAAATCGCTGCCCTGACCCCAAAGCCCTTCCCCATGTGCAGGCAGCAGCTCCAGAGCCCAGGGTTTGGGCACCGAGCAGGGGTCTGGGCTGGGGGCAAAGGGTCCAGGCTGGGGAAAGGGGTTTGGGGAAGATGCTGGGATGTGGGGACCTCGGGCAGGGATGTTGGGGTGTGGTGAAGAGGTCGGGGCCACCACGATCATCACCTCTGGCGCAGTAGTAGGTGGCCGTGTCCTCGTCCCGGAGGCTGTTCATCTGCAACGTGACCGTGCTCCGGGAGTCATCCCTGGAGATGGTGAAGCGCCCTTGCACCGATGGCCTGAGGTAGTTGCCGAGACCCCCGCTAATAAGCGCGACGTACTCCAGCCCCTTCCCGGGCGCCTGGCGGATCCAGTACATGTCGGACCTGCTCAGGGTGAAGCCAGAGGTCTCGCAGTGGAGGGTCATGGACCCCCCGGGTGTCTGGAGGCCCCCTCCGGACTCGACCAGCTGCACGGCCGCCCGCAGCCCTGGGGAGGGAGGAAGGACAGAATTCAGTCAACCGCTCCACCACTTTCATGGAGCCCAGAGGCCCTGAGGCCAGCCTGGACCCTGGGGGCAGGGCTCTGGACTGGAGACAAGGGTCTGAGCTGAGGGCAGGGGTTTCAGAAGATGCTGGGCTACAGGGGAACAGCCCTCCCAGGTAGGAGCCGGCCCCGCTGACCCCCTCCCCAGGCGCGGATGAATTTTGGGGGGGGGGGCG